ATACCTGCAAAAAAACAGATTGTGTCCATCACAAGTTAAATTTATTTTAAGAAAACCAGAAATAGAATTAATTGCGGAGGTTTGACCTTTGGATTGTATTAGGAGAAGATTATAGTGAGATTGAAAACCCTAAAGTTGGTACTAGTAGTAGTAGGAGCCATATCTTGGCATTTTAATTAGTTGGTTGGTGCTAATTTATGGAAACGACCATTGACTTCTCTTATTTATTTTATTCCAATATACAACCAGGAACGTAATAATACAGAATGGGTCGCAGCATTTAATTTTATTATTTGATGTTGAAATATACATGTTTGTGTGTGTGCCGCCTGTGTGTGAGAGAGAGAGAGAGAGTAAAGGAGCAGAAAGAAATAGGTAGAAAGAGAGTTTGGAAGGAGAAATAAAGGTGCATAGGTAAATGTGGACGCAAGTTGAGGAGGCATATATATCATATATGATATGACAAGAGAGTGTGATATGGTTAGTATAAGTGAGAGATAACAACAAAATTGAGCAGCACGCATGGCTTCGGTGGTTGTTGGATATACATGCAAATGCAAATATGCAATGCATCCACCACTAAATGTCAATTTTTTGTTTCCTTCTTTTACTCATTATTACAACTCCATAACTAACCCAATACCAACAAAAACAAACTTATGCATTTATATATTTATTAATCCTGCCAAATTTCAAAACCATGTTCCCTTCATTACTTCAACAGGAAGTATTCTTTTTTTTTTTTTTTTTTTTTTTTAAATAATTCTTCTCTATTTAATTACCCTATACTTCATTTTATTCTTTCTTATTTGTTTGTGTGTGTGTGTTTTTGTTGGTGTAGTTATATGCAATGTGCAATATGTTACTGTCTCCTTTTGTTATTACTAGGTCTATATGGTCATAATAACTCATCAACGTAACAGAGAAAACTGTTTAAATCAATATTTTCATTACATTGCAATTTAGTTTGTACTGAAAACCCATTATATAAACATAAATAAATTATTAACAAAGCCCATCAATCACCTCTCATGCATTATTGAGTACTTATAAAGAAAAAAACACAAGGCCATCATTCAAGATTTTGAATGCTATTCATTTGCAGTTATTATCATCATCATCATCATCATCATCAAATACATATATTAATTTTATTCCAAATAATTATCAATATATTAATATTGCACTACAACTACTATGGTGCTAGATTAATTTGCATCAAATGTGAGCCATAAATTTTACCAAAAAAACACAATAAGGCCATTAAATAAATACTTTTGCACTCTCGGACCATATTCAAATAATTTATTTTTATAAACAACTATATATAAAAAGTATTAATAACTAAATATATGGTGCAGCTAGTGTAATTGTGGGGGCCAGATGGGGGTAAGGAGAAGAATCCTGTAAAGTGGAGTTTAAATCACGCGCACAGTTCAACTTTCTCTCACATGATCCATGAATCTACATTTCCCCCCTTTCAACCAAGATTGTGACTAGCTACACCCTTCTTCTTTGGCACTAATCTTTTTTTTATTTATATTTTTGCCCCATAAGTTTACTTCTTTATCCTTTTTCCTCGTAATTGGAAAAAGTTCGGAAAATCCAACCAGGAATCAAAATCTAATATGTATTTCAATTCCGTTACAAAATCGATAAATAAAAAAAATCAAAAATTAAAATTTGGAACGAAAAATATTCAGATCGAGATCGGTGGATTCGAAAATTCCGTTCACATTCCCAACTCCATTAGTATCTAACAAAACCCTTTGTATTAGTTCCTCCATAATTTAAGTTTAGCTGTTTCTTCTAGCAACGTGATCCAGACATTACCTATTAACTAGGAGGAGAAAAGATTCTTAATCCCACTTATTGGAGACAATGACACACTAAACAAATTAGACAGGTCATCATTATTTTCCACAATTAGTCCTAACAAGTTATTAGCGTAATAAAGATTGCATTGCCCAAATGGCTAATTAGATTATAAATCATCCAATTCTTGTAGGGCACTGACTTTTAGGGCATGACTTGAATACATATATAATATAAAAAATTAATTAATTGTACATGATAATTCATTGCTATACGTGCAAGTTGCAAATTATTAAGTATCATCATAAATTAAACCCACCCACAGCTGTTTAATTTCCTATTGATTTCCTCTAATCTTAGTCCACATTAATCTAATTATTAATTAACCTCTTCCTTAAATTCTCTTTTACTACAAGTGCAAAGACACAGCCCTAAATTTAAGGTAGAAAACATTGTCATTTTTCAGAAACTATGATTATCCAAACATTGCCTAAGTTATATATATATATATATATATATCCTTTCTAAATCTAGTTATAACATAGAAGATGCCCTCTTGTATTTGCTTAATTTTTTAATAGTAATCCCTTTCTTGGTATATATACTGACGACTGACAATAGATTTATATAATATAAAATTATAAATTATATAAATTACAAATCTCAAGGACAAATCCGTCCAAACACCCTTGAAAACCTAAACCAGACAAACCCTAAACTAGTGGACCCCCCTCTTACACCTACCCCACCCCCCACCACCACCCCACAACTCTCAACTCTTTATAAGTTTATTTTATCCATTTTATTTATGCCCCGATCGATCTATTTCTTGATACAAGAATCCCTATTAATTTATCAGCTCAGAGAAAAGAGGCAGAATTCTCCATTTTTTACTGACCGTTGAATTTCTTGAATCGAATGGACGACAAAGCTCAACAACAAATTCCTCAGGGACTGCAGCCGGAAGAACACGCGCAGCTGGAGCACGTGATCCGCACGTACCACACCTTCGGCGCATTGCCCAACACATGCACGTCGCTCATCACCCAGCGCATCGACGCGCCGGCGAACGCGGTGTGGCCACTGGTGCGGCGGTTCGACAACCCGCAGCGGTACAAGCACTTCATCAAGAGCTGCCGCCTCGCCGCCGGAGACGGCGGCGTCGGCAGCATACGGGAGGTGACGGTGGTTTCCGGGCTACCCGCGTCCACATCCACGGAGCGGCTGGAGATCCTGGACGAGGAGAACCACGTGCTCAGCTTCCGGGTGGTCGGCGGCGAGCACAGGCTGAACAATTACCGGGTCGGTGACTTCAGTGAACGAATTCAAGAAAGGTGAATCGGTATATACGATGGTGTTGGAATCGTATATAGTGGATATACCGGAGGGAAATACAGGGGAAGATACGAAGATGTTCACAGATACGGTGGTGAAGCTCAATCTTCAGAAGCTTGGTGTGGTGGCGGTAGCATCTCTGCATGGCGGCGCCGGCCACGATTGAATTTAAATTATTTAAATTAATTATTTAATTTCTAGGGGGCGGCGGCGATATTGATCGGATCGGATCGGCGGAAAAGATGGGGTGCAGGCCGCCAGGTAATTAGAACAATAATGGTGGTGCAGAAATGATATGATGATGGTGCCCTGCTGGTGGTGGTGTGTGTGTGTGTGTTTTTGTTTTATTTTTATTTTATTGGCTTTGAATAATATGTTTTTTTTTTATAATATTTGTTTAATTAGTGGATAGAAAAAGGGGTTTAATTTCTTTTGTCATGCAAGTTGGGTTTTTTTTCTTTCTTGTATAGTTGGAAGAGTTCAATTAATTAGTTTTCTTTTTAATGCTTTGCTCTATTATATTGACATTTTGATGTGGAATAAATGATTGGATGATCTTGGATACTTGTTTTCAATGTGAATCTAACTTAGATTTTTTGCTCCTAACTTTTAGTGCGTGTGTGTGTGTGTATATGAGAGAGAGAGAGAGAGAGAGAGAGAGATGTGTAGTATATATATACTCAATGAAAATAGTGAAGTCAAGAATTAAATAATTGCAATGGCATGACAAAAGGACTAATATAATTGAACTTAATTTGCATTCAAAGAATGAAGCTGTACTACACATGACTTTTTTAACTAAGAGCGCAGACAATTGGCAATGATCTGATGATCTGTATGCCACCAATATGCATTTTGATTATTAATGTAACCACATTATATATATGGTTTATATTACGTGGATCTGCAGGATATTTCAATGGGGTGCTTTAATTTAATTTGTTCTTGCCATATATTTCAATGGGATTACCGTCCTATATATATTTCAATGGTGCGAAACGGAATTAAGCCAGTAACTCGTGATCAAGAAAGAAGACACAAAATCATCTCATTAGATGTCTCCTTTTCTATATATATATATATATATATATATATATATATATATATATATATATATATATATATATATATATATATATATATAAGTAGGTGAGGAATTAGTTGCAATGAGAGTTTTGGTTGTGGGTGAAAAAATGTCAACCCCATAATTGATAGAAATATGGTATGGAAATTGGACAGCTATATATATATATATATATATGTGTGTGTGTGTGTGTGTGTGTGTGTGTGTGTGTGTGTTTTGAGAGACTTGTGAGTTGCCTTTGGGGGCATTATGCATGTGAATGTAGCTTCTTACATTTTTTGTTTTACTACTTTTCTTCTTCATCATGTGTTTTTTTTTTTTTTTTTTTCTCTTTTGGAAATTCACTAATTGTCAACAATCTTCACCAAGTATTAGCAATATTAATTTTATAATAGGACTTTATTATTTAATTAACTAATTATGATTTATTACCATAACTAAGATCTAAGAGCTAGAAATTGTCCTATTTAAAGTTAAATTGGGAAGAGTAGTAAACATTGAATTTAAAGTGAGTGGGCCGTACAAATTATCTGATAATAGCATACACAAAAAATTCCAAAGCCCAAATAAAATAAAATAGACATATTAAGGCCCGAGGTTGGGCCCAATACTTCTCGAAGCTGATTCCACCTTCATAATTGTATCTCCCATTATTAATCATTCTGATATTCCAAATTATTGTTAATAATAATACATTTTTCATTTTACTAATTATGTTTTCAAGGGAAAGTAGAGAATTTATTAATTAATATTTAAGAAAAATAATATGGCTAGTTGATATATATATATATATAGTTATTTCTCTTGTTTGGTATGCAGTTTTGAATAGGCCCTATCCCATTTATTGGTAATCATTAATACATTTTCTGAAAATGAAATAAAAAATTAGTGGAATAGTGTTTTAGTGTAATCTCAAGAAATAGTGCAATACAGAGGAATGTTTTTATTTAAATTAAATTTACTGGGATACTTGTTCTGATAATTTGTCCAGATATCCAAATAGTGGATGGGATGATTACTGTTTTTGCTTATAGCTCGGTTTTAAACTCATTAGGTTGCATAAAAAAATATGGATTCAAAAAAGAAACAATCTTTCACTAATGTAAACAAATAAAATTTTAGTTCATAGTTTTCTTTTTTTTTGGAATTTCACATTTGTATCATATATTACATGTGAATTCATTTTTTGATACCGACAGGAGTAATATATACTTGCTAATGTTTTGGGCCCACACTTAAGAGTGAATTATGGCAGCCCAACTCCCGGAAATACCCAAGTCAACTAAACCCCAATCCAAAGTCAATCTTCTTGAATTAATCATTCAGATTATTTTGTTTAACCGTGGACGTTCACTCGCTCAAAATTAACCTCATGTGAACTTTACTCTCAATTTCGAGTGCGCCACTTCTATCTTCTCGTTTCTCTCTCCTTAAGTGAACAGTACTTCCCATCAGCTTGTCTTTTTCCCGACAACTCTTTATAAAATCTTCATCGTACATGGCTGATTTTGACTGAGGAGCAGCTTTGTTGTCTCCTATCATTGGTTTTGTGCTTATTTATACTGTTCTTAGAGAAACGGACAAATGCACTTCATTCTTATGCGAGTGATTGGGTGTCCGAGTGAGAGAAAACTTGAATTAATTGAGTGTTAGATTGTTTCTCCATATTAGTAATATATAAAATCCATAAGATAACAAAAAACAAGAATCGTAACTAAAAAAAAGAAAGAAATTTTGAAATAGAGCCTAAAAGTTGTGGACCATTATATTTATTATGTATTTAAATTTGGCTGTGTTCGCGGGCATAAAATTAATTAATGAAATTAAAAGAAGCATTGAAAATAATATGAAAAATCACATTTATGCTGGCTGTGCAACACATCATGTCAGTTGAGTAGTAGAGTATGATAATAGATATAATAATAATAATTAATAATATAGATAGATACAGAAAGTGCTCATCATCAATCCTTTTTTCTCTCTCTACTTTTTCTACTTTCTCTCTCCTTTACTTTCCCCACAGACTCTGTACTCTGAAACCGCATACACCCCTCTAACCGTACAAACAATTAACACCAAAATTTAAATTAAAAAAAAAAAACAGAGCAGCAGAGAAAAAAAAAAGAAAAAAAGTAAAATTGCATGCACGCATACGATAAATTCGCCAAAGATATCCCCATTCAGATCTCCAAAATTGCTTGCGTCATCATTATTGCATATATAAATATATATACTACTATTCTCTCTCTACTCTATTTATTTGTTTCTCTCTCATGCATGACTGAAAGTACACTGGTGGTGAAACAGTGTGGCAGGCCCATATTTATATTTTTCAATCTACATACATTGCCAAAACCCTTTAGTTGTTTGAATCAGGTAACAAAAGTATGTTGTTTTCTTGCCCCCTTTTCTCTCCTTTCTCATCACATTATCTCTTTAATTTTCTTGCTGCTCTCATCTCTCTCTCTCTCTCAATATTATTTTCTTTTTCATTTTTTTCACCATTATAAATTGTGCTACCAAATATATATATATATACATCCTGCCATGCACAGGAGTTTCAACAGAGAAGAGAATCCAAATAATAATATTGTGTTTGTAATTATCATTGCAGGATAGAGAGAGAGAGAGAGAGATAATGACGAGGACAAGAGGGTGATGAGAGAGAAGAGAGATGAGAGAGAAATGGGCCCTAATAAAGCTGCAATAGAAATGAGTAAAACTGCAGCATCAAAGGGTAATGCATATAATAATGCTCTTTCTTTTTTTCCCTTTTATTTGTTTTTTATTACTAATAATAATAGATGATCGATAATATTGTGTGGCTGATACTCTTTCCATCTTTTTTTACCAAACCCTAATAATAAGTACTCCCTATTTAATTTCTCTGTGCAGAGAAGCCCATGTTTTAATTTCCTCCTTTTTGGCATGCAGTACTTTTTATTAATGGCATTGTCTGTAATAATAAATAATAATATAATAAATGGGGTTTAAAAACCAATGATTATTTGTGTTTAGGGTGTTTAAACCCAATGGTTAATAAGTCAGTCTGTGTGTGTATGTGTTAAAAGAAGAGTCTTTTAAGAAAGAGAGGAGATTCAAGATTGTGTTGTAGAGATCATCAGATTCTTTTTATTGGGTTTTGGATTCTTCTCGGGTAAATCAATAAATTTAATTCATTTAATTAATTAATAAAAAGAAAATAATAGGAAAAACACAGCTAGCTCACTTTCTGCATTTTGGCATTTTATTCTTTGTTTGTTTTCGGAATGGTGGTGGGGTTTAAGTACACAGTAGTACACTATCTCCCCTTTGCAAACTTTTTTCCTTACATGAAAAAAACTTTATTCCTTATGGTAAAAAAAAGGTTATAAGAAGAATACATATTATTATTATTAATAATTATTACAAGACTTATATATTTTTATATATATTACAACAACAACAGTCTTTTGGCTGTTTGATTTTTGTACACTGTTTGTTTAGCAAGAAAGGGTAACCAATGATTTCCTACATATAGTTCTGATCACCATAGCATCAAATCTCTCTCTCTCTTTCTCTCTCTCTCTCCTTTTCTCTTTTTATTTTATGGGTTGTTTTTTGAGGGGCTAGCAGCAATCATCATTTCTTCCCAGAAGTAATTTGATTTATTTTAATTTAGAGATAGCTGCAAATTATTTGGGCTTGAAAATGGCTTGAAGGGGAAACTGAATATTCTACGGAGGTTATTTATTTATCATCTGTGTTCATTGCAATTTAATATTCCAATTCAAGGTTTGTCTTATAAACTCATCTCTTGCTTTAGCCTTTTAATAACTGTTTTCCTCAGACATTATATATATATATATATATATATATATATATATATATATATATATATATATATATATATATATATATATCTATATATATATATCATACATCATATATATATCTATATATATACACACATATATATATATCTACCTATATATATATATATATATATATATATCACAGCATCTATATCTATATATATATCTCTATATCTATATATAAGATATATATGTGTGTATACAGTTTCTAAAGAACTTAAATATAGTGTGTGTGTGTGTGTGTGTGTGTGTGTGTGTGTGTGTGTGTGTGTGTGTGTGTGTGTGTGTGTGTGTGTGTGTGTGAACTAAATCTACTTATACAGATATGCATGACAACATGAGAACCCTGAATTCAGAGTGATTTATAAATTCTTAATTTTTCAGGTCTATTTTTCTGATATTCTTTGGTGGAAATCCAACCTGCCAAGAAAATGCAACGAAACTTAGTCGAATCGCACTCCTTTGTTACGGATCGAAACTCCGATCCAATTGATCGGCAAACTCGAAACCACGATCCCATGTCTGGATTTTCTTTGCCGTTGACCCTCGGAGAATCTCATATGACCACCTTCACCAATTGTAACCAAATCCCAACTTCCATTCCCTTACCCAATTCCCATGAACTTTGGCTCAACACACAACCCCAAATTCCGAATATACCCTTCGACAACCAAGATAAGCTAGTCCCCTTTCAAAACAACTACCCCTATGAGAGCATGAACTACGCAAATTACGAAGGCGTACCCTTTGATGCGAGCATCGATAGATTCACAGCTCCTCACCAACTCGGGAACTCCGTTCTTAATGAATGGATACCGATGGATCAACGTTCCTTAAACCCGTTTAGCAACGAGCTGTCGTTGAGCCTAGAACCTTCTAGAACTTCCCCTTCGATCCACGACCAATGCTCCTCAAGTTTAACTAGCTTTTCGTTGCAAAAGAGGCCTTCCCATCACACTTCCAGCAGCACCAATAATAATAATAACAACCTGTCGCTGAGCTGTAATTCGTCTTCTTACAAGCCGGGGTCGAAATTTTTCCACGCCATGCAAGAAATACTCGCCGAAATTGCTTCGTATGCGCTCGAAAGCTTCGACCAAATGAGCTTCTCTAAACACTGTTTTCGTTCCACCTCACATAACGGGCTCGATAACAATAACGGTGGCCCTGTTTTTCGAGACAAACACTCGCAAGAAAGGGATGATGTTGAAGCCAAGATGAAACATCTGATATCTCTATTGCAACTGGTTTGTTGCTCTTTTTTTTTTAATTTAATTTCCGTCCTTAATAAAATATTAATCAATCTTGTAATTAATATATATTTGGTCTACTTGTTGAATGTCAATTAGGTTGATGAGCAGTACAACCAATGCCTAGACGAGATCCACACGGTGATTTCCGCGTTTCACGCGGTGACGGAATTGGATCCGAATCTACACGCTCGATTTGCACTCCCCACAATTTCTCTCATGTACAAGAATCTGAGGGAGAGAATTAGCAGCTGCATTATTGAAATGGGAGCACGCGTTAATACTACTAATAATAATAACAATAATAAAGGAGGAGGAGACGAGAGTTCGTCGTCGTTCGACATGTCTTATATTCAGAAGCAGTGGGACCTACAGCAGCTAAGAAAGAGAGATCACCAGCTTTGGAGGCCGCAGAGAGGCCTTCCGGAAAGATCCGTATCCGTTTTGAGGGCATGGATGTTTCAGAATTTCCTTCACCCGTAAGCTCGTTTGTTTTTTTTTTTTTTTTTTGACAATTATGTATTAAAATGTAAAACTATGAAATGTTCGATAATTTGTGGAAATAAAAATTCAGGTATCCAAAAGACGCAGAGAAGCATTTGCTAGCGATGAAAAGTGGTTTGACAAGGAGCCAGGTATATAAAAACATTTTCGCTGTTAATGTTTTTTATTTCCGATTTATGAAATACGAATGGTCTATATATATGTGAGTAGGTGTCGAATTGGTTTATAAATGCGCGCGTACGTCTATGGAAACCGATGATAGAGGAAATGTGTGCGGAGATGAACAGAAGAAAAAATCGCAGGCACGACGAAGAAATAACTGATGGAGCACAGAGAAATTATATGCGGTTTGAGAATAGAAGATAGTCTCTGTTTTAAATCCAAGTATATATTTTGGCTCAACTGTATTTAGTTTATGATCTTTTTGAATATGTGCTTCCCTCTGAGAATTGCATATATTTGCATCTTCTTTAAGGGAGTGTTTGGGTATTAAATTAAACACTTTAATATTTTGAAATATTATTATATTGGATATTTTATTAGCACAAAGACACTTTTCATCATTATTTATTATGAATAAATTATATTATATCTCATACAAGATGGGATTTGTGGTATTCCCAGCTTGACAGAGAATTCAAATCTAATTGGGATCTAATTCCAAAAATACATAAGGCCCTGGAAAAAAGTTGTTCCACTTTCACAAAAGTAGGTCAACCCTTTAATTTAATAAAATTGTGCACTGAAATTGTCAAACATCTCAAGTAAATATATAATATAATATGTGGGAGAATGAATATATCGGGTCTACAGCATTAAACGAACAAATACTTTAACAAATTTTATTTTATTGTTTTATTCCTAAGTTTATTCGGATGAAGCAGATGAATATAAAGTATAAACACAATTAAATAATAAAACACTTCTCCCGCCATTTATTATCATTATTTCCTGTTTAATCAGCATAAATAAATCCAAACGATGTACACAGATCAACACGCTATAGTCTCAACTAACACTCTAGATTACAAGTGGCAAAAACAATAATTATATATACACACACATATATATATGCATGTATATATATATATGTATATATATAACCCTCCTTTGCTGTATATTATCTTCTTCCATTTTGCTAAATTATATTTGTGTGCTTTTTTTATCTTTTATCTACAACCCTGCAGTAACTTTCTTTCAACCACTGGCATAACTCCTCCATTCATACACACACACATAAATATATATCTACTACAAAAACTATGAAAAAGGCCATACTCACACTTGAGCCTGGATTCTTGTTTTTATCGGTTTTAACTTCAATCCCATGCTCTCCGGTGAGAAAAGCTCCGGCGAAATACTAGTCGGACTCAACGGACTCCTTGGGCTGACATTGAACTGACATGGCCTGAAGAATCCATAACCCATGAGGAAATATTCCAACGGTATCAACATTGCATCCGGTTGTTCTTCTGTAACCATCGACCCGCATGCTTGAACCTGCACACCGTACATGTGTATATATATTTAATTTTTACGCACACCCACATGTATGGTGTGTGTGTGTGTGTGTGTGGATGTGCATACCTCAACTAAGGCGCTAAATCTGCGATCTAGCTTTGAGGTCATATGAAGAGATTCATAGTGGAATGGAGAGTTTTCTCCGACAAATATCAAGGATCGACATTTCAATTTTCTTAAGCTGTCGGATATGTCTGGTCTCCTGCCAGGTGGCACACAATAAGGTTAAATTCTATGGACAACAAAATTCCGACGTTATAGTTGATTTAGTAATGGTATAATAGTAAAATAAGGTACCCGTTAATAGCTTCAAGATACCGCAGCACGTTAGGGCTCTGTCTCTCACCCAAAAACTGCATATTTGAAAATTTTGATGAATCTTAGACGAACGATAAAAAAGAAATGTGGTCTAAAATAAGGTTTAATAAGAGGTTGAGGTGCCAACTCTTCTGCATGATTGGACAATATCTGATTCTGGTACATCAACGCCGCCACGAACTTCCTGTCAAATGATTAAAAAACTTATTAATTGCCCATCACTTCCACAAACGACTAAAATTGTTGAACAAAATGGATTTCCCAGCAGACCTTGCTGAAGTAGCGCATGAGCATCAGCTCCTTCACTATACCGCACATACCACAAATATAAAGCAAATTTGACATCATCTGCAAATAATATTTCATCAAAAAAAATGTATTTTCTTCCACATTTTACAAATTTAATAGTAAATACTATTTTAAGTGCTAAACCTTGTTACATAACCACTCTGTCCAGGATGGTGCTTTGCACAGAGGGGAAACAAGAATCAGACCCATAGCACGCTGCGAGTACTTTATCTGCAATAAAGCATTACATAACTAAGTCAAAACGGGTGGATATATATAAAGACATACAACCAGAGAAGGAAGAAAACTTACAGCAAAGAGTGTAATAATATAAGCTCCAGCTGTTACGCCCAGGCACATCACTGCACCAAGCCTGGAGAGAGAAAGAGAATAAGCATGCCTCTACGAATTATCCCAAATAAAATACCAAAGATTTTATCCCCTCCGTAGAAAAAAGAACACTATTATAGATTCGGTAATTTGCATAGAATATGCATGCCACGAGAATTACCCAAAATAGTCGAGGATTTCAGGAATCTGATCGGCTAAATCATCGACAGATAATGAGGGTTCATCAGGGTCAGCTACAGGAGCTCCTAACTGCAATAACTCTTCAAATTAGTACAGATCAGAAACAATAAATTAATATTAGTTATAAAGCAATCAATACACTGAGACTGACCTCATGACCCGGAGGACTGATATGGTAGATACAGAAGTTGTGGAGAAGAAGAGACAATGCTTCTGGACAAAAGAATAATCCTTGAAAACAGGACATATCTGTTTGGTAGCATGCAGACAAATGTGTCAGACGTCAAAAACACCTTCTACCCAAATATTCAAACATCTGCCGACAAAAGGCTTTACAAAGTTTGTAAATTCTAAACTGGAAATTCTAGTTCAAGATTTTAACACGATAATCCCATATACATCTTGCATCATTTGAGACTGAGCAGAAAACATTTCCGATAAAGAAACGTTATGCAGCAATTTTAAAGTTAAAAAAAGCGGCTTTTAAGATGGATTGAAATGAAAAGATGCAATACCAAAGTTTCGGTAAAGTTGATATAACATTACAGAAAAGCATTAGCAGGATCGCAAGTGTCAACTAAAGATTCACGGGTACGAAAACAGCAGGAGTTTGGTCGAAAATTGACAGTATACTTTGTATGAAAAATTTCAGGTAGTTTCCTTACAGTTTAAAGCTAAATCAGGATAAGTAATAAGAGCCGGTTTTTCCTGGTCACCGAAAACAGAAACCGAGACACATCCATGACCGGTTTTCACAATATGCTCCTGTTACAAGAAAAAAAAATATGCCAATCAGAAACAAATATTCCACCAGCTAAAGCAATCCAACAATTCTGATGCCACATGCTTTTAAGCGACGAACAATTCTGTTAATAAGCATACGATTTTCAAAGACACATTCACACTTCACCCATAGATGATCATAACTCAATCCAAATTTAAAAAAAAAAAAAATTAAGCAATCAGAGGATTTCTTGAAATGAAACCGTTAAAAAAATTAATATAAACAAATGAAGCTTCTTATTTCCCAAACAAAGTGAATATAAAAGGATAAATAAGATACTAACTTATTTTCCCCAAATTAGTAAAACTGCTGAATAAGATTACAGTATAAAAATCAACCATATTTTCCAAAATGTGAATTTAACCCAATCAGTGCATAATTGAAAAACAAAACGTTGCCAGAATAAGCTCATTTCCTACTCAATTAATCCACAAAAAAATAAATTAAATAAAACAAATATTTCCTCCCAAAAATTTGCTCATAATGTAGCTCCCAAAATCCATTCCCCACTGGATACAAAATGCGTTTTCACAAACAGAAACAGAAAAGTAAAGACGGAGAACAAAACGAATATGGCTGTAGTTAACCGCATGTATGAACAATGTGATTCAAGTTTGACTTTGACCTTTCCGGCGAGAGAAATGGACTCCATATCGACGGAGACGGAATCGCTGGAGTCCGCCATTGCTCTTTTACTCACTACAATTCTTGTTTTCCCTCTTTTCTGATTATGTTTTTTTTTTTATTTTCCTTCAGCCAAATTGAAACGCGTTGGATTCGGCATTCACAGCTTATATGCCAATCCACGTCTCTTTTCTCTCTCTCCCCCCATTCTTTCTCTCTCTATATATATAATATTTTTGTGTGTATATATATAATATATATATATATAATGGCGAGTTGAGTTTGAGTCCAACGTTCACTGAGTCACCGACGCTTCTCGGTTTGGCCTTTGTAGAACAAATGGAGTGGGTCCGAACCCGATGACATAATTGGATTCCAACCAGACTTGGAGGCCGACACATTTCAGTTGCTGAAATGACTCATTTGTCCTCGTCATTTCTCACTTGTTTTTTATTTTTATTTTATTTTATTCCTTTTTTCTTTACCCATTTTGGTTGGTGATTTGCTTTTACACTTAAGCTGAATTACAAGAGGCTTATGCAACACTGAATTCTTGATGCTTTTTATTTATTTATTTATTGTGGATTGTAATACTCCTAATTAACAAATTAAATAATTTAAAACACAATAAATAAACATTTACCGGGACAATAAATAATATGCATAATATTTAATTAATTATTATAGAAATTAATGTTTGATTAAAACAATGGTGGTTAATGTGATCCTCAATTAAAGGTGGGGAACCACTAACATTAAGGACATGCATGCACACATCCAAAGGGATGCATATTTTAAATCATTAGTTATTAATTAATATTGGTACTGTCATATTTTATTTTATTTTGTCATTTATTATTAATCCAGTGAAGAGATGTGCCACAATTTATTTATTTATTTATATGTATATATAGATTTTGGTGTAGATCGACCAGATGACCTAGCTTTGATTAATACATTGATAGTAGATTAATTAAAATGGATGAATATTTAATTAATAACTAATTAAAAACTACACAAAAATCACTTTCCATTTAAGGTGAGTGTGTTTTGTTCATTAACCTCATGAGAGCTCCCTCTTGAGAATTCCCTTTCATATCACAATCTCAGTGAAAAGGCATGTTTGGTGGTTTTTATGCAAGAAATTTATTAGCATTTATTTTCTTTCTATAATTTATTGTGAGTTGAATGTGAAACCAAACACTTATAAACCATTTGGAATTGTCAATTATGAAATTATTGCTTGAATTATAAATAACCGCAATATTACGAAGCATGTTTTTTTTTTCTTTTTAATACAAGTATTCGAGTTTCGATCGATATGGATACTGCAACATAACATGACAGTAAGTATAAATATCAATATGATTTTTATTTTATTCTTGTTTCTTTAAATGAGGTATTAAATCACATTGATAATTGAATTTTATAATTTGAGGAAATTTGTTTAATTTGTTGAATTAAATTAATATTTGTTGGTTTGTGTCTTGTTTTCTAATTTGTCTTGTTTTCTCAATTTTTTTATGAAAAAAGAAAAGAAAAAAAAGAAAAGGGAGTTTGTTGATATATATTCATAATTGTATATGTTAGAATCTTTGACTAGAATTTAGTAGCTAGTGTACATCAGAAGTTCCAACGTAGGACTCAATCACCTGCCAACCTAATTTCTTTATTTACTATTACTACCTTCAGAAAAATAAAATAAAATAAAAATAAAAATAAAAAATCATTGTATAGGATGCATGAAAATTGCAATGAATTGAAATAAATGATTAATTCTGTATTTGACTTTAATAATATGTAATTAATTTCATAAAATTATAGTACTAATCTCTAAGCACATCGATCCGCCGGTTGATATTTGACTTTAATGAAGTTTCTCATTGTTCCATGTAAAATTGTTACTCCAATGGAGATTATTTATTTTATTATTATATTTACACGCACGCACGCACGCATAACATTGGGTCAAGCACACACACAATTTGAGCAACAATTTTAGCTATTTTACCTTTAGATCGAAGCAACTACCACCACATATACATCGTACAACAAATTTAACATGTGACTTGCACAAAAAAATCAATATTTATTTATTGAGTAAATGGTGGCCACCTCTCTGAGGTTAGATCAAATTACGAAAAAATTATTATTGTTTGGGTGATTACAACTCAACTATGTATTGTCTTACGAAAAACCTCATTCTTCAATAGGTAAATTTGACACAGTAAGAATAAACGTATAAAACAATAGGGTAAACTTCATTTTACCTACCTGAACTATACCCAACGTATAAAATGCCCCCCTAAACTACAAAATGAATCAAAATGGTCCCTCCAGATTTTGGGTCAACGTTAAATTCAATTAAAATAGTAACTCCGTTAGTTTTTATGTCTTATTACCTTTTTGCCCTCCAACCTTTTCTTCTTGGTCCAATTCTTTCTTCTTCTTCGTCCCTTTCATTTATATTTTTATTTTCTTTCTTGCTGAATTTTTTTAGCATAAACCCATGAATTTACATTTCAAATTCCAGGAATCCAAGAATTATGCTTTTGTGAGAAATCACCAAAGAATTATGTATCACCCAACCCAAATCCGAACCCCCATCAATCGAAATCCCCAAAACTCACTAAAAATCACAAATTCAAGAACAACCCAGATGAGGATTCCAGCCCAAACCACACCCCCACAGCAAAATTACACGAAGGTGGATATGGGTTATGAGTTCGCCAAATTTTAGGAAACCGTCGAGCTTCTCAACAACCTTGTCGGCGGAAGAAAGATTCAACCCAAAGTTTCTTTTAGCGAGAGTGATTGGGGAAATTGCTAAAACATTTTTTTCTGGGTTTTGATGGGACCAAGTTGGATTTTGACAATTTCTTGAATGTGGGCTATTATTGGATTGAATTCAATTGTTATACTTAACAAATTCCAGAATTTTTTTTTCTTTTTGTGTGAAGGGAAGTGCTGAAATTGTGTTATCTCTTCATCTCTTTGGATTATTTTACGAAGTTTAATGGTTTTAGAAACCAGTTGTTCATAAGCCGCCAGTTTTCCTTCAAGCTTGCGGGTTCCGGCGAAGGTTGCGAGTTCCGGTGGAGACACTGTATATTCGATGAGAATTTTTATTTTTATTTTTTATAAGATATTCGGTGGGAATTAATATATAAACATATAATTATATATATATATATATATATATATATATATACACACACATATAGCTATAATAGTATTCGGGGCAAAAATGTCAAAACACATGCAACAATTATTTAAAATAACTATTAATGCAAAAGTCAAAATGCCACATCATCAGGAGCAGACGGATCTTAAACGGAGGGGCTATTTTGATTCATTTTGAAGTTCAGGGGGTATTTTATACGTTGGGTATAGTTCAGGTAGGTAAAATGAAGTTTACCCAAAACAATATATAGTTGATAAGTGATTGTAATTACCCAAATAAAATAATTTTTTTGTTATTTATTTAGTTATTTTTTCTAATACTCAAGTAATAACAAGATTAGCTTTTGTAGATCTAAGAAATGCCAATAACCTCTACTTCATGGAAGAGAAAAAAAGCCAAAATGTGAACCTTTGACATAAAATAAAATAAATTTGACATTAAAACAAATAATTATATTATTTTGTCCAAAATAATTTTTCTAACTCGAATTAAAATGAACTAATATAATATGTATTATTATATGTCGGTAAGGATTAGTGTATTTGTACAGAAACAAATATTTGTTAAATATATTAATTAATATTAGTATATAAGAATGGGGTGCAGAGAAGCAGACAAATCATTTTCAAGGCCTTCTTTTAGCTTTGTTAATCCGAAAACGCCATCTTACCCACCAAAGCCTTTTTGGTTGGTCATCATTATATTATTATTTTAGACAACAATTAGTTGTTTTAGCCATTTTTCAAAATATAAAATATTATATATTTGAGAGCATCTCTATCTATACGAATGTTGGTTAAATGAGAAAAAAAGATATCTAAAATATAAATTTACATAGTTGATTAAATTAAAAATATTTGTTTACAATACAAATAGAACATTCAGTTACCAATGGTCGATAAGTAAGAGCTTGACTCACATGATTTATTATACAAATTAAAAAAATCTAATTTGATCTTATTTCATCGTCACTGGCAATAAGATTTGCCCCGTTAAAAATGTGATAATATTGGTGTGGGTGTCGGTGGATCTCCTCCTCTCTTTAATAGTTTTCTTGTGAGTGGAACCCATATATATATATTTGATATTTCTTGTTCTTTCATATATATTTACTAGTATAATATAAAGTTTTGATTTAAGTTTTATCAACTAGTATAAGAATATCTATCTCATTATATTAATTTAAATAATTGTTAAAAGAATCAATGGACCCCGAGTTCGTAATTAATAATTGAAATTTGAAATACACTAATAGTGATGTTATGTGAAATGTGATATAAAGAATAAACAAGAAAAGAAATAAACGGTCTTTCCTATCACGATTTTTTAGAGCCAGCCGGCCAATGTTTTTGAAAATATTTTCAAAAGAATGTTTGGAACACTTCTTGAACTTATTTTCATTTTATTTTTGAGGAAATATATTTTGGGAGAAGAATTTGCGAATAAAAAATAAAAATGAAAAAAATTACTATTTTAGGAAGAGACCAGCCAACTTGTAAAATCTTAACCTAAGCCTAAAATCTTTTACATTACACTTAAAATGCAGGCAATACATTTGCAAGTGAATTGGAGCAACGGGGTAGTAGTTGAAAATAATCAAAAGTAGAGGGGCAATTAACGTAAATAGTAAATAGTTAAGAGAAGTGAAATTGAATATGGACACACACACACACACACATATATATATATATATATATATATATATATATATATATGTATATATATATATGTATGTATATGTGTATGTATATATGTGTGTGTGTGTGTGTGT